GATTGACTCTATGCGCGGCAGCATATTCGACTTTTCATTTCGTGTGCACGGTCAACAAAAAGGACTTAACGCAGACCAGAACAGCACCGGCAACGAGAAGGTGGTGACTTAAATTAAATATTTGAGCAAAACATCCTAGAACTGCACATGCATCTTAAACTTTTATGTTTCCGAGCACCCTTTGCCGGCGAAAAAATCAGCTAATTCTGCATAATTTGAAGGAACACGAACCCCGACAGCAAATTGATTACGTTACTAGTTGGACCTCTACATGTTGCGCTGAAGAGCAGGTTTGACCTTTTATAATCATTATTTCTCACGGTTTTACTATCGTAGCTGGTTTGTTACACTCATTCCTGTTTAGTCGCAGGTGAAGTTAATTACCTGTGCAGCGACCCCACTCTCCGTCGCGGTCAAAGTTATCTGTTGTCGCACACCAATCATCCTTAGAGGGTCCCCCACTGGTACAAAAAAGATTCTCTTCGCCCATAAATGTAAATGGAAACGCGCAACATTTACCATCTTCTGTCCTTTGTTCGCATGCGGTGCCATCCTCATTTCCACAAACTAAAGATAATCGATACCAATACATGAAATTAAAGAATTAAAATTTCGCGATTTAGAGGGAAACATGTCGGTAAAACTGAAGGAGAATTCTTCCTATTCCAAGCCATCTTATTACACTTCAGGTGCCGCAACAAAATAACCTCTTGAATTTCGTTTAAAAAAAGGTAAATATTTACAATTAAGAGATAACTTGATGTATTTTTTTTTTCCAAGGAGGAACGGTAAAAATCACTGGCTTCAACGCAGTTCGGTACTACAAAGAACGTTCATGCAGTTGTTTTAAACCAACTTCAACACTGACGTACCTTCTGGAAGGATTGCTAGAACTGTTAAAGTTGCTGGCAGTGATAATTTCATCGCTTCCGTATTGAAGTGCGAAATGATGGTAGGCGATTGAAGCGGTTTACCTCGTTAATGGCAGCAAACAGTCCGCCTGATACTATGTCGCAATTTCTATGAGAAACACGATCTCTCCGCGATCTACAAGACACGTGTTTTACGCCAGAAGCAAGTTCGTAGCCCCTTTTCGAGGATTTTTAAAAAACTGGACGGCTACACTGCTTTCTTGCGAAAATACCGTGTGACTAACCAAAACTCGCCAACAACCGAGGCGACAAATTGATATGTTGTAATATAATATTCTGCCGGCTTCTTGCATAGATTTCATGCTGAGAAATAAATTTTGCCAATTAAAATCATACATAACTCAGCTTGTGATTTCGAATGAAATATGAGGAATTTAATTACACTTTTATTAAGATTCACTGAAAAATTCGACTATATTATAAAGCAGAAACCGTCATCGGTCCCCAGTCAAAACAGGATATAGGGCGATGTCTCGTTGAAGAACATTTAACAGCCAACCTTTTTTTAGTACATCTATTTCAAGTTTATTTTTGTTGTGGCCCCTGTAGGACACTTTTTTTACCAGCTAAAATTCATGTATTTCATTTGAATAGTTGCATCATTAATCATTTATGTTCAATGGCTTTTTTTGTTTTGTTTTTCAAGATTCTGACCACCGGGCGATTAGCTGGGCTGCGTTCCCAAACTACTTTGCAAACCGGTACGCTCTTTGTCGTAATCTGCTCTAGCCTGACAGTGCGCTTGCGGTGATTAAGATAAATTATTTGCTAATCCCCCCTCTCAAAGTTTCTCGCCTCTTTGAAACTTCGATTTATTCAATTTTCAATTCATTGAATTAAACAAGGTTTTGTAAAATCCAATTAACACTTAAGCTGTTTTTTGCCGGCCAGTTTTTCTCAGAAGTATAATAAAAGGGATTTGTTTTTCTTTAATAATCCCTTAATGCTGTTGTTGTCGTTCTCCTTTTTTCTTTTACGCGATCCTTCATTGTTACCTAGTTAGTTCCAGAAGGTTTATAAGCAATGTTATTAACATGAACGAAATTTTAATAAATAAATTCTACGCAATCCACTATATACGCAATTTTCATCACGCGAACTACTAACGTAAAGCGTGTGAAATAAAATGGCTGAAGTGTATTGAAAATTGACGTGCGTGCAATTTGTTTTGTGGTTCTGAAGCTGAGAATGGTAATTGGCGCTGGACCGTGGAAGAACATCAAAAATCACTGGAAATGAATTTCTAGAGAACAAAAAGTTATAAAGTAAAGTACAATTGAATAGATCATTAATATCAAAAATTTTGAATTCAACTTTTCGATGCTCTTTTTCTCAGAGCAAACATCGTAAAAGCTCTGGTGTTCGAAATTGAAACTCAGAAGATTTTCTTGCCTTGATTAAAAATAATGCGAACCCTGTGTTGTCAGCAAAGTCCGAAAGAAAGGAAAATTTGTCAGAATTACTCTTACGGTTGTTTAGGATCGGATGATCTTTGTAAAAACACGTTTTGCATTAAATAAATGTATCAATGAAGGGACAAGGGAAAAACTCAACAATCTCTTCCCTTAGAAAAGTTCTTACTAGAGGAACACTCACTGGCTGCGCGAAGGTCAGCATCTTTAACAGCTGTTGAATATCTTTGGGACAATAAATTCCACAAAAACTTGACTCCAACGTAGAGTTTAATACAGTCATGGAACCAATGTGCCGCCAGCTATGGCCTTAGTGTGTTCCTAGTGTGTTCAAAGATAGCATTTACGATGTAGTCCTATCTAAGCCTAAACTACAGCGCTGAATTTTAGGTAATTAATGTCATGCATTATCTAATACATTCCACCTGAATAAGAACGATTGGCTACGAAGGAATTTCGCTTTTCACAACGGCTTAATCACTTCCAAACGACGCAGATAGAAAACAACTAATGAATAGACCAAGACAGGTAACGGTGCAGTTTGACACTTATCATAACTATGATCATACAATGACTGTTTACGGCTGGTCAAATAGCAACTGGTGGTACTTACACTTTGCTGAGCGTAGTAGAAGTTCCGCAGTTTTTACGTTGAATTTCATATTTTTTATGAGCGAAGCAAAATAAACTAGACAGCTAAGTTCACGACCGATACTGAATCTTTTTCAAATCCAGGATTATGGCCAAAAGTACTCTATAGATTAGCCCTTTATTGTTTCTTGACGCACAAATTTTTTTGTTTTTTCTGTTTTGCAATTGTTCAGATCACTAATACACACTGACTAAAAGAAAATAGCTACTTAGGGCTACTTCTAATACTAATTACATTGTAGATGCTTACACTTATAAGATTTTAAAACTTAATTTAGAAAAATTAGCACTGATAAAAACTACATGTTCCTGTTAACCTGTTTGCAATGATTATGATCAAAGTAACAATTTGGTGACTTAGAGTGAGACATCAAAAAAGTGTGAACACAGGAATTATCTCTCAATGTTGTTGTGTTGCTAGGAAATAGCCAATTAGGCGTAACTGATCTAACCCTGACAGGTGCTTAAGTTGTGGCTTGATTTTTGTGCGCGTATCGTGAGCTTTATCGTGTTTGGTCCACACAGAACTCACCTGTCAGAGGCAAAACAAAGTTTTCACTTTTTTTCTGAGTTTAAAGTAAATTACAAACTTTTAAGCACTTTCTAATGCAGTCTAGAATTAAAACCAAATTGAAGGAAAGTTATGTCTCTAATTGACAACGACTTGGACAGCCAATGTTGACGGGGTCGTAAGAGAATTAATGAGATTAAAAAAAATGGACGAGCTGACTATCTGAACGACAATACAAGAGATTAAGCCTGGAAATAAGGATGCACTCTCCTATTTTTTCTTTGTTGTAAAACACTTTGTCCATTTTTCCCTTCATTTTTTCCAGAGTCGCTCTTTTTATGTACTGTCCACGGCGTGCGTGCCAAAATATGCATGATCGTTTTAACACGATGGCACAAAAGGGCTAAAAACTGGACAATGAATATCCCTCCATAGATGATCAGGAAGCTAAGTGCGATGACATCGAGGCCTAAAATCTTCAGGTCTCTCCTTGGTACTAACGTCAGTATTAGTATCATCCACAAAAAGTTGCTGACACCGAAAACCCAAAATGTTGTGATCCTTAGCTTCTGGAGGTCTTTTTCTGCAGAAGACGTTGACGCTGAAGCTGCGTTATGCGGAGAAAGGAATCCTTCTTCAAGTAATTTTTCCCAGAAAGTTATTTCGTCTTTGGGATAGTACTGACTATCACTCTCGACAGACCGAACACTAGTCAGTATGTACTCCGTGTAGGAGACTGTCATCGGTACATGTTCTGAAAATAATTTAAGAATACTGCGTTATTACCAATCACTCTTTTCGGACGAGAACTAACGAAGTACTGAGTTAAAACATTTAGTAAACCATAACGAATTGTGGGGCGTTAGCTTCTTAGATTTAAAAATCAACATCGATTGTGCTTACGCACATATAATTGAAAGAGTCAGTACAATGAAATATATGAAGTTCATGTATTTTGAACTGCGGTATTAGATTATTACGAATCAACTTAACGGCCTGCTCCCAGTTGGCTTGTTAGCTCAATTGGTAAGAGCGCTGCACTAGTATCGCAGAGGTCAGTGGTTCGAATCCCGTACAGGCCTGATTTTATTCATGTCTGATTTTCGCTATTGCTTAAATAGCGCTATCTACTGCGAGGATCATACATCATACGTAATTGAAAGAGTGTCGGCACAAAATTGACCTCACAACTGTATATTTCCATTTCGTTTCCTTTTTTTGCGTTTTGCAAACTGTTGTAAAACCTCGCTGCGAATCGGCAAGAAAAATAAAAAAAACTATCACGGTCAAACGATGACATCAAAACAACTGAGGCAAGGAAACCGAGGTTGGACACATGCGGACACCGAGGTTGTACGTCCAAACATTCAAATTAAAGTTTAAGGGTTTGGAAACATGGGCAACTTGCCCACACTTGATTGTAACTTTTCCTCCAACAGCTATTTGTCTTTCTCTGAAGCGGCTATCTGATCAATTGCTGCAGCTGTCTTGAATTCCGAGAAATCTTCGCTCATCTTGACTACCAAGGCTGTTTATTATTCAAACCGGCGAGAGTGACTTCGCTCTTAGCCTCGTTCCCGCGTCTTAACTTCAGTACTAGACCTTTGAACAATGATAACTCGCAAATGCGCAATTTGCATGTTTGTCGTTGCGATGTCACATGAATATGAAAAAGAGAACTTCATCAACTACGGGACTGTTCGCTTCTACTAGAGCTGAGTCATATGTAAACTCCTAATTTATAAAAAAAAAAAAAGTGATTAAAGGGGGCAAGTTTCTAAAGAAACTGTAGTGTTGCGTCGGTGGGGGTAACAAGGTAATTTGGTAATATCAACAAAGTTGAAATTGTTTCGAGCGTTAGCCCTTCGTCAGAGCAAATGACGAAGGGCTAACGCTCGAACGTCAGCTTTTTTAACTCTCTACGGTGGCCAATTTACAATTTCGACTTAGTTGAAATTACCAAATTACTATATTATGAAAAAACAACTGCGCTACGCGCAGCGGCCATGATGTTTCCATTTTCAAATTTTGTGCCTGACTGCACTCCACTCTCATGCACGCTAAAAAATTTACGCTTATTATTGATATGTTAATTGATATTATGCCACCAAAACCCCGTTCCTATGGTGCTCCATGTTCCGAGTGATCTCGGATCATTGGACATGATCTGGATCATTTCAAAGAGACTCTCAGGCTAACTGCTTCTGATCGGTTTGCTTACATTTTTGAAAGAGAAATCTCCGAAATCACGATATCTTTCCCAAATGGGTTGTCTTTTATTAAGCTCATATCAATGTACAAGGCTAGTATTTCACCATAGAACCTGTACACGCCTTTTCCATCCGGAAGGTTTTAAATAAATTTTTTGCTCAGCTCCTAGGAACAATTCTTATGAGGTACGAGTTTACTGTCATGAGTCATTTTAAGTGGTCACTTCATCAAACAAGGGTAATGAAAAGGTCCTGGCAAATAATCTATCCCTCAAGTATAACGTACCTTTCACCTGTAAACTGTAAACAGCCCTAAGCAGCCTTTTAAAATGGCCTGGTTTTTTTATCCCAAACTTTTTCTCTGCGAATTCCTTGAGTTCCCTTTCGGGCTTGGTTTTCAATTTTCGAAGTTCCCATAGATGTTTGAATTCCCCTGTGATTTTTAAATAATAATCTCTGAGATGGTGCTTTTTCAACCAGCCTTCAATGTCTTCCTGATAACAAAAGTGAAACAAGGAACATCAGCATCATTATCGGCAATTGCTCTAGAAAGAATATACACATCGATTTGCTTCTTCTCTCATTGGCTACTGGAACAAGAAAGCAAAAGCAGACTTTTATTTACATTTAATTCTGGGATCTTAGAAAAAAAAATTGTTTTTAAAACGCTATCATCTAGTTTGTATGCTAATGTTAATGAAGTTAGCAATATTCTTGGTTGGGCTTTCATAATACCATGAGTGTGCCTTTCTTGATGTTCAGCCCTTAGCATAACGACATGGTTGAAAAATCTCTCTTATCTTTTTCACCATACTAGTATCTTGTTTTTGTTTTAAAGAATAAGAATAAGTATGCTCTAGAAATCATCAACTTTACTCGTGACAATGACCGTCTTTGGATTTCAAAGTAAATCCAACATTTCGTAAAATTGTCTTTGAAGGCGCCAAAAAGTCCACCACTATTCTGTCAAGCCACGTTGGCTTCCTGAATTATGATTCCACCATGATGGTTGTTTAGAAAACTTACTGGCATTTCATGCTTTTTTCTATGCGGAAGAATCCTCTTGGTTTGGTCCAGGAGCTTTGGACGATCCTCCTCGCTGATTTCGATCTGCTTAAGATCCTGGCAGATCAAAGAAGAAATGAATGTCTTTCTTTGATTAGCGCAAATATATGATTTAACTCATTTATTCCTGCAACCATTACAACATTTTTGGGCGAAAATCTCGTACACGTTGTTCGGAGGTTACTAGAAAAGGATATTCGAAGTTTGAGTAGCCAATGAGTGTGCACCTTCAGCGCTATCCACCGCTCCAGTATGTATACTTGTACTATTTAGGTTTTCTTTTGAAAACAAGAGATCTTTAACCTTTTTTATGCTATTCTGCTTCATTTTATAGTTTTTTAAGGCGCTTCCTCAATAAACAACTGATTAATGCGCTAGGTTATGTGTATTGTAATAAACGATATTGAACGCATAACTATATCGATGTCAAACTTACTTCCTCCTTTATTCCAAACAAGTCGTCTACAAATTCATACCCATTGTCAAGAAAACCTTGGTAATATTTCTAAGAAGAATAAAAAACATCAATCAAATAACAAAATTTAAATCAACTAAAGAAAATTAAATCACAAATCGTTTGAAAAGGCGTTGCCAGGCCAATAACATACCAACTGTAGTAATTTTCCGGAGACGGAAAGTTTTTGACAGATTGGCAGGAGCGAGTTCCCTTATGCAATATTTTAAACAACGAGAAAAACTACGACCGTTCCACCCCCAAAGCTAAAAACAGTTTAGGAGAATTGACTTATCAGAACCGACGCTCAAATTTTCCATCTCTGTTCCCACGTTTTCTCTTGCACCAGAATAAGTCTTTGGGGACACTTACCAAATAATATCTGCTGGAAGCAATCAACACCACAAAGGGTAACGAATTGTAAAAATCGTCGAAATCGCTTGAGTTTTGCAATTATCACAAAGTTATGATTGTTGAATTTGCTCCCGCGTTCAGCCAGTTAACATCTTTATAAGTATCATTCTTGACAATTTTGGAGTCTTTTTCAATTCACGTCGTTGTGCATGAGATCTGGTATATTATATGACAACTTCTGGTTCATTTAACATTATTTCAACTCATTTAGGATTTCCAACCTCAAGTTTTCCTTCCCTCAGAAAATCTACCAATCCCTTCTCGGACAAGTCCTCTTCATTCGAATTTAAAAGGTTCATTGCTTCTGAAGATCAAAGAAAATAATTGCTATAACTATTACAGTTGAGGATGTAGGAAATAGCCATATGAGTGCAAATATGAGTGAAGGTTGGCTTGTGACAATTACAAAAATTTACATTATCAATCATCAGGAGCGCCACCCCTTTAATTAACTTGTATCGTTCCTGAAACTTTATATAATTTTTTTCTTCATCTTCCAGAAATAACAGATTACCATGAAACTATTCAGCTTCAACAAAACAAACAAGGCCGGTATGCCATTATTCTAATTTACCTCTTTTTCGATTGACTTTGTATCGAAAAAGAATGATCGTTTTAACCATCAGTGACTTGACTGTTGAGACCATTCCGAAACAGATGTCCCTGTCCGTTCCAATTTTTGTAATTATGTAATACCATAATGCCTAGCGTACTTTTTCTTCGTAAGTTGTGAAGCGCTCGTGAAAGAAAATGCACTTAAACTGTGATTTCTCGCCGCTTTAATACTGCCTCGTCTCAATCCTTTGGTAAGATTTTTTTCTCTTTTTTTTTAGCTCGTTCGTGATCGGAATTTTGTTTCGTAACGTAACTCTAGGTTTACATCGTGTACAGCTTGTAATCCATGGTTGAGGCTTCTTATGTTAAAGTACAAGTAAACTCGTTGAGTTCGTTTAAATACTGGTTTCTCTCGTTGTTACGAGCGCTTTACACATCCGACCCGCACATTGGTCTTTCAATTCCCCGATATTTCTCCCATCAGCCTTAGTGCAGAATACATCCGCACTGACTTTTATACCAAAATTTTTTTCTCGCAAGAAGGCTGTGTTTATCTAATCTTACTATTGTTGCTGTTTTTTAGGGTGACGACCGACGTTTTATTCGATACATTTATTCACAAGACGAAAAAAAATTGTCTTACTTTTTGAGTGGATTGCGTGGATTTCATCTTTCGTAAGAGGGGTTTTTCCTTTGGCCTCACTGCTATTTACTCCGTCGACAGGCGCGGTTCCTGCATTATTCGCATTGCCTTCTTGAACTACAGTCCCTGTGTTCGTGTTTAGACCTGATGGCCCGGGCCCCTAAAATTTATTCCGAATCGTCATAATGTTTTATTTTCACGATGAAAAACATTTAGCTTATTCTAGGGTTTAAGATATAGTAGTTAAGAATGTTTTGCGAGTTGAGCTGTAACTCAAGTGTTCTTTACTTGATCTGTAAAATTTGATATGTGTTGTTAGTTGAGCCAAATTAACAAATAGAGAAGCCTTAAACCCTTTTCCATCGACCAAAGCAAACAGGGGGTCAAATAAGACCCACTACTGTTCTTATTTGTTTCTTGTGGAAATTAAGAGACAACATTATGTAAGTATGTACATTGCAAGGCTGTTTGATGAGACACCAATTGCAGCCTGAAACACCAACAATGATTCCCGATTTCCATTGCAGTGAACCGTTCATATAACAACAAATCCCAAAAATCCAGCATTCTGCTCCAAGAGCAACACTGAAAAAGTCTCGATCTTTTAAGATCAAAACTTGCTCAAAAAATCAAAGTTTTGCATTCAAAACACACCTCAGGGCCAGATCTTGCTGTTTGGCTGGAAGATGCCTTCTCACTTTATCCACTAGCATTTGTTTCTCCTTTTGACGAAAGCTAGTGTCGCAAACGCAACCTTTGCCTCGTTTATGACCGAAGAGAATTCTGGGAAATTCCACCACAACTCGAGAAGGCAACACCTCACATTTCCATTTTAACAAATTATTTGCAGTGTCGGGCCACCCAGTCCTACCAGCAAAATATCACATCGATCGAGACTTTTGCCACTCACAACTGGCCCAAAAAGCCTTGGTAGGTCCTGGTAGCCATCTACAGATGGGCCAGAGACACGACTTCACTTGTGAACTCGCCAAGCCTACATGAAAGCATTTTGGCGGTCCAGTCTACATGAAACCACCTCTCACCTCTGTTTTTTTTCAGAAGCTTGCCTCTACCCACATTCCAGCTTAATGATGCTGTCCTGAGGGCTTCTGTAGAGGGAAAATGGCTCGAAAAACACTTATAAACGCGAGAAAACGAATTGATTTGAACGCATCCAAACACGAGCGGGTGATCTAGGTCACGTGACCCCAAAGTCTGAACCGACGGTGTCCCAAAACCGCTAATATTGTAAGGGATACTTCATATAGCGAAAGAATTGTAGAGAGAAACACAAAACGTAGTCGAGTGTTTCTCCCTACTACTTGAGAACACTCGGAAAACTTATAAATCACACGCCGAAGGTGAGTGATCTATAGGTTTTCCTCGTGCTCTCCCAACATCCCAAGTGTCTTCATCAGGTTTTACAGCCCAGAAAAATGTGTTCTATCGCTTTTATGACATAACTAGATGTCATTTATCAAATGGGGCTCTATAAGATGATAGAGCATCCGCTTGGAAACTGAAAAGACGATGCGAAACATATTCATTTATGTGATAACAACAATTAGAAAGAAGAAGCCTAATAACGCAAGTAAAGTGTTCTTTCAATTATCAACATTAAAAGTTGCCTGTGGTCGGCCATCGTCGATGGCCGTTTCTATATGCGTTTATGTTATTCTAAAGTTAGTTCGCACAGCCTACCTCGGAATCTGAGAGTTTCTTTCTCTCATTTCCACCCTTATCTGATCTGGTCCATCGACAACATAAGCAAAGGTCCCATAATGAATTTTGGTTGCTTTTCTCTCCTGAGTTTTCTTCTCTTGTTCCTATAACACAACAAATTTAACATTTTACAAAACTTGGCGAGGACTATTAGATAGAAAACGAATGAATACATCAACACTCTCAAATAGATTTCCACTTCTGAACTAATTTAGTTTGTGGGGGAACTAGAAGTGGAAGGGGCATAAAGTGCCAGAACTCATTCGGAAATTGCTACAGTTTAACTTTCTTTAGTTTTTTTTTACCAACTGTAACGATCATTTTTTTTGAATATGACAACAGTAAACTCTAATCCAGGGTGACTGCCGTTGTAAGCTTATCTCATTTGTTTTTGTGTGACTTAACATTTTTTTCACGATGCAAGTTGAGCCTGTTATTGAGACCTTTGGTTAGAAACCTAGGAACCTTCACCAGGCGAATGCACCAAGACTCGGTGCTCAGAGAAAAAGGTTCGTTAAAGAGCACCCTTCTTATAACTTCTTTTGCTTATATTGCTGAGGATATGATTAGCCTTCCCTCAGCCCTAGTAATATAAGGCATCACAACCAAGAGTTCATAAAGATTAATTGTAGATACGTTTGGGTTGAAGAAACGCCCTGACCCCGGACGTTGTCTTCTCTTACAGAATAATCCCTAAGTGGATAACGATTGCCCGACGAAAACTGCAGCGACTTTTTTTAATATAACTCAGCAACAGCAGACATGTGTACGAAAACACAACAGAAGCGGGAGAAGTGACGAAGCCGATGGCAAATGCACCAACCAACATATTGCTAATTGTTACTGACTATTTTAGCAAACAGCCTAAATTAGAGCCTCTATGTAATTCGCTAAAAGCGGGCAACATTCTTGAAATTGACAGGGGCAAATTCTCGCAACACGAACACGAAAATCTACTAGAAAAGTATGCCTGTAAACAATTCAGGTAATGATCAAAGGGGAAAAAAACAACATACCCCAAGAACTGTCAGTTAGATTGCAGATAGCGTAAACTGTCAGCAAGAGATAGCCAGATGGAAGGGCTAAGAAGTACAAAAATCCATAAAAAAAACAAGTGATTTCACTTGGATGCAAGAGAGCAGAGATTACAAAGATTCCTGTCAGCCCAGCTAAGTAGAGGCTGCTCACTCCTGCAGGGAGATGGTGTTCTAAAGGTTTTGGTGTTGTTGACGACGTCGTTTCTGTCTGTATCGTCGTTGCCATAGTTGGCTCAACTTTTCTTTCCTTTAAATCGTTGGAAACTTGGACAGCCAATCCGACCGCTACAATGCACATGATTACTGAGAAAGAAAAGGTCAGTATCTTTGACACTTTAAGCTGCCACTTTGGGGGAGCGTAAAGGCAGACAAAGACGTAACCAACAACAACAAGACTAAGAAGCACTGATGTTGTTATTTGGCCGATCGGAACACCCGCGAGTACCATTCCACCCACTATGACCAAAATGACCGTGGAACATCTGAAACGAAAAGAATGATGTTAAGATTTTTGGTTTTTACTAAGGGCCTATCCGCATTAGCGACAAAATTGTTTATTTAGACAAATTCTCTGTCATCACCAACACTTTACATGTGCGGATGGTTTGTCGTGACTTGAAAAATTTTGGGCCAAGCGGACAAATTTTCAAACGTAACGCCAACAAAATTTGTCCTGGGTAAAACCTTAACAAAATCGACTAAATAAACAAAACCGTGATAAACTTGTCGGTCATTTGTCGTAAGCGCCACCACCAGTGTGGTATTTGAACTGAGTTTAGTTTACCAAAAGATTGCAGTAATTGACTTTCTTGGCGAAACTCGCGGATTTCACAACTTGAACCGTAAGCAAATTAAAGCGCGCGGACAGTCTTATAAGCAGGTCAGGCGCTGGATGTTGCGTGGGCAAGATACAAAGGTAGAGTGATTTTCTATTTGCCACTTTGTCAGTCCAACAGTGAAGCAGTAGATATGGCACAAGATCCAGAAGTGCCCACTCAAAGCAAGGGGAAAGGAAAAGCTAAATTGAATAAATTACTGTGAAATATAGTATCAGTGTTATTTTTGACCGTCAACCGAATTTGACAGATTTAACAGCCTCAGCCCTTTTTAGTGTGGATGCAACAGAGGAGACAAAAATTTGTCGTTTTATTTTGTTGGGACCATTCTAGTCTTGTCTGCTAGTGCAGATAGGGCCGTAAGTCAACGTTAAGAAAAGGACAGGTAATGCAAGAGTACTTGAAACAGTGTACCTCAAGGCAAATTAATTATTTTTCAAATATAATTTTTCCATGCCGTGAAAAACACACTTGAAATACCATTCCCTAGATACATGTTTTTCCACTCATATTAATAATTTTCTCTTTGTGTTTGCAGGTTTGCTGGCTTGAAAGAAAACGAATTCAGTATAATTTGTTGCTTTTGTTCTATTTTTTTTTTCGTAACTCTAAAATCGGACTGAAAATTTGGTTTTTGATTTTTGTATCCCATATATTTAAGTGTTATGGAGTTCAATCTGTAAAAAGGAAAGTTTTAAGGTTTCTTGTCGGTAGGGTCATGGTAATGGCAAGAAAATAGGAAAAATCTCAATTTTACAGAAATGGATTACTAATTAATGCTCCTGAATCCTGAATCCCTAAATCCTGAATTTCTAGTTACTTAAACCAATACATAACACTTCTGATAAAGTTCACGAATAGATGAAACTTACCCGATCACTGTGGAGAAGACAAGGAATGCTTGGTAAACAATAAACAAAGAAGAAATATGCTCGTTGTTACTTGTTGTCTGCCTCCATTCTCTGATAAGTAAAACGAGGTTGGCCAGTGTAGATGGCGCCCATCGTCTTCGTTGTTTATAAAACTCGTCAAAGCTCTCCGGGCAAAAAGTGCTATTCTCTGCGGCAGCGCAGTATGACAATCGCCAACCACTTTGTATCATCAGTGTGCACATCCAACGGTCCTCCCCTTGAAAAAATTATTGCGCCTTAAATCACAGTACATATTCATAGCTTCATAAATGATATTAAATAAGCTTATGAATCATAGGCACTTTTTCAAAAAATTAAATCTCGAATTGTTTGCTCTCTTTAGAAAAAGGATGAATTAAGGCGCTGACTAGCTCGAAACTGGTTGAGCGTTAGAGCAGACGGTCTGAAAGCCGATACCCTGAAACAGCTAAGACTAACTGATCAGGGGCGTGTTCTCTACGGTAATTACGCTGCGTCATCTACTGTGATCATAATTGAAAAATGAGTCCTCAAGAAAGAATACCGATTAAGATTTTTTTCAAGATTCGCTCGGTCTACCGGAATGGAAGGAAACACCAGAATCTGTGTTATTTTATCGCCTCGACTGCATGTATGTAAACAAGCCAGCCAAAGAAAACAGGCAAGCAGGCAAACAAGTTAGCAAGTTAGTACGCACATAAGCACATAACTAAGTCAGCTGGTAAGTAAATAACTGACAGACCTGGGACCCTCTGAAAAGCTATATAGTAATGGAATGGTAATTCGATTACAATCAAACGTTCTCTAAAATCTGAAAAGATTTGAAAGCGTTTCAAAACAGCTACGAAAGAATGAATGAAAGCTATAAACATTTCTTTTTCATAGAGAAAACCACGAGAACGCAAATTACTTTAATTGCTCTCGACAAAGTGGAGAACGCGTTCTAATTTCGTAGTGAACTGTGATCTCATGGGTTTCCTGTGAAAACAAGTGAGAGTTAATCAGGCGGGCAGGCGATGACGTCACATTTTCGTCACACAAAGGATTCTAACTTTTGCGAGAAAGATCTTTGGTTGCTGTTTGCTCGATCTTCTTTACGCAACTTTTGGTTTCGCAAGTTTCAGTGTGCTGTTCGCTCGCTAAGTCATTTCTTTGGATTTCATGTAACCTGTGATCTCTTCACACATGGACAAATTTGCATATATACTTTGAAATCCCATCCGCACAGGCGAAAGAAGTTAGCGATTTTCATCTTTTATCTTGATTTCTGAGTAGAAACTTCGTATGTATCTATCGCTTTTTTCCTTGAAAATAAGTCATTTAAATGGTTTACTTTTTGCTGGAACCTGTAAGATATACAAAAATTCACCGCGCATTTGTTTGCTTTTCCAGACTTGTTGGGTTCTTCAAATTGTTAACTTTTGTATCACGTGGTACACAGGTTTCAATGGGTAAAGCAATTTTTCGATGCCAGTCTCTAACTGACTGCCTAAGGAGCTTGAGCCCCTCTTGACAAAATAGCAGACTGGTACAGCCACGTCAGACTCTAGAGTCAACTGACTGCCTAAGGAGCTAGGGCTCCTCTTGCCAAAATAGCAGACACGTACTACTACACCAGACCCCAGAGTCAACTGGTAACTCGTATGCACTCGTTAAGCTGTGATTACTTCTAGTAACGTAAGTCTTTATATCCATTCTAATAGGTCAAAAGGGCACTGCATCTTCAGGCATTCTGCAGAGGAAGAAAAATCTTTTGGAGGTGGAGGGGGTTTCTCGTTTACCCTGTCTTCTGAGAGAAGGGGATAATTTACAGGAAACTTTACGGGTTGATGATGTGCCCTTTTACTTTAAATTAACTCACCCATGTCTTTGGTAAGACATTCAAAAGCGTTGTCCGCGCAGGTGGCATAATTTGGCAAAACATCCCTCACAGCCTTGCACCTGTACAAGCTGAAACATCCAGGACAACACAAGACTGACCCAAGCATGTGATTGGTCACCTAAGTTCAAGAGAACGTGTTAATAGATTATTTCTTGTCTATTATCTTTCCCTTTTTGCTCCTTTTTACTAGCTCTGTTAAGAACTTTAAAAATTAGACCAAAGGTCGTTAATACAGGGTGTTTTTGAGCTACGTCTTGACTTACAAGAGGAAAACATTCAGAGATATACCGTTAGGCCTAGCTAAGTCTGTGAGTCAAGCATTCATTCACCTCATTGCGGTTAGCAAGATCACACAAACCTTTTGGAACCAGTGGCCGACAGCATAGTCAAATATTTGGTACCAAACTACAGGTCCACTTCCTAGGGGATAGGTACGAGCACACACAGCACCAGTTCTAGGGTCTTCGCAGATTTGATCAATTAAGGCTTCAACGGACTCATGGGTAAATTTAACGTCGCCATCTGTTGCGAGGATAAAGCACTGGTCGTCTTTTAATTTTTCTACGACGATTTTGAAATCCAAAACGTAGGACATGTACATTACTTGGCTCCATCTCTTCTTATTCTTCACCTGTATTTGGTTCCACAAGAAAAAAAATCAGGCAAGCGCTTTCTTGCGCTCGTGAAAATAGCAAAGTCAAAATTCTTAAATTTGGATCAGTTACCTTTGCGTTGTCTTTTAAGTGTATTGTGAAGGATGTTTCTGTTTTTAATTTAAGTTTCCACTTAAGCTGCATACCAAAGGCGGTCTTAACCTTGATACATTCGTTAAGGTCTTCCACTTTTAAAGTATTTTCTACCAACGAAGCCAGCTGCAGAACATAACTATTAAGCTCTTCTGTCCTGATGCACCCATCAAAAAACACGTGTGCTTCAAAATGGTGCTCTGAATTGCCATTTTTGAGGACATCGTAAACTGACTCCAGAAGTTGTTCCATTTCTTCCCTTTTTTCATGATACATTGTCGTGCAGATGAACACATGTAATTTGCTGTCCTTTTGGTTGGAAGCTGATGAAAAATTTGCTTTTATGAGTATTTTTCTATGTCTAATTTTTCATTAATATTGGTTAATAATGTCTAATGTCTCATCAATATTGGTTAATAATGGCACATCTAGTCACCTTGTAATTGGTATGATTAGAATTTTGACAATGTCGACAAGCAGGAGAAAGCTAGGCCAAATATCATTAGAAATAAAAAGGGAGACAAATTTACATGACGCATTTTCCAGTGAAGAGGGTTCCAAATCAGATGAAAGGTTTCGTTTGTTCGTCAACAAGTACTGTTCAAGGCACACACCTGAAAATAATAAGAATAAATTTCTCAGTATTGAAATTCGTGTGAGCCTTATGTTATAGCGTATTGTTTTATAGAAGTAAGTAAGAAATACACATAAGATAAAAAATGCTACTGACAGACTTACCATTATAACAAGGAATCCAAAGTAAGTCGTACACTTTTCCCAAAATCTTTCCTGGACTTCCCCACAAGTAATACATGGCCCCCAAACATTGTGCTGACCACAGAAGGAGTCCCGCACTAAGAACATAGGGTCTGTCTTCTGATGCACATGGTAATGGGATTGTGTCTGTTTCGCAAAGCCCTTTAAGATGAGTTATCATGACTGCGATTGGTGTCGCTAGTGTCAAGGGAAGAGCCAATCCAATTTTCTGCATACGAAGAGAGCACGAGATCCACCCAAAATGGTATCCAAAGAAGCTAGCCATGATGTGGAATATAAAGTATAAAAATGACGGATTAGATGTTGTTATGGCCTTAAATCCGTCAGAAATGTCAGGCTTCCCAATGTTCACAATATCAAAAATACTTGAAAATGCAACTGCCATTGCAGGTATGAAGACAAGTTTACAAAGGGAAGAAATCACGGCAGCTTTCGCTTGAGCTGTTCTGGTCAACCTGGGAGGTCCGGGTTCACTTTGCAATGATCCTTCACTGCTGTTGCTAATTTCCCTGAGAATTTCGTCATCTCTAGGCTTTGCTCCGAATGCCTCCTTCGGATCGAATTTCGAACTAGTTCCCGGCTTACGTAGCGTATCAACACATTCCTCTGCCACATTAGTACTTTGTTCCCTTCCCATCTCCCTCTCCTCCTCGCCAGCTTTACTTTGAATTTGAAGTTTTCTAAACTTTGGTGACCAAACAACTGACAGTAGGAAAAGGGCAAATTGACCCGAAATTACTCCTTTCAGGTCAGTCACCTTTAAAAAAGACAAAGAAGAAACTTATTGTTTAATGATTACTCATAAAGCTTCTCTGTAAGCATTTTCTTGAAAAAAAATTGTTCTCAGATTGTCCTAAGATATTCGTGCTCTGAGAAAAATTATATGATAAGAGAAAAGAAACGAGAAGTAGCTGAAAAAACTATTTGATTCATGATAAAAGGCCCCTTTCGTGTGTCGCCAATGTCGACAACAAACGCTGTGTCCTCAGAGTTTGGGCATTAAAATTAGAATAAATCATCATATCCCTTAATGATGAACAGCAGTTTAGAACGAAAATCGTAAATTGACCAACTGAATCAAGAAAGAGGACTTGGCTCAAGGATTCCATGGTACATTTTATTTTCAAAGTTCGATTGCTCTTGACCACTTTAAATGAAGGTCCATAACAGACTTCACTGCATGAGAATTACCCCTTCTTTATACAAATTCTATTGAGCCAAAAAACCTGATCCTAGTAAGGTAAAGAGAAAAGCATAATTATCATTTTATGATTAATTTTCTTAGTTCGATTGCTCATGACCACTTAAATAAAGATTTATGACAGACTATGTGCAAGACAACAACCCCAACATAATACAAGAATTAGGAAACCCGATCCTTGTTAGGTAAAGAGGAACGCGAAGCTTTTAAAAGTTACCTTCAAAGACAGCATGATATTGCCAGCAAGAAAACAAAGGGTAGACACCAGGGATCTCAGGGTATCCCACAAACTGGTTGGGTGGTTTCGCTGGCATAGTTTCCCGTAGACTTCCCGTAATGTTAACGGCAACCCGGCTATACTGCACATGAACAGCACGAGAAAGTCAGGGCTCACTGGTAGTGTGGTCACCATCACCACTGTGATGTAACAAAGGGAACAAGCTTCTAAAAATCCACCAACTAAGGTCTGCAGTATTAAAAACATTCAATATCATTAGAAGCTGGTCAAAACGAGGCAACAGTGAATGACAAGGATAAAAAAAAAACAGACATCACTCTGATAAGCGATAACTTTCAGAAATCGAACTCAGTGATCATAGCTTAAATGGCGTTGTCACGTCCAAATATTATTATGGAAAGACAGTCTATTAGGCCGGCTACGATAAAACCGCATACGAGGTGGCGCTACATTGATGAGATTTTTCTTGTTTAATTTAATTTTAAGGAAAATACCCTCCTAAAGAAAGCCAAACTTTAGAACAGCACGTAAAAATGGCTATCAAGGGGTTGTCCTTTTATGCCCGTACCAATACAAACCTATTCACGACGTACAGTGTAAGCTACAAGACATTTAGGTCATGTTCCTTGATTCGGTCATGTGCTTCGAATTAATTGTGAGATTAAACTCCTTAAATTCAACCAATTTGGGTAGACCACTCGTCTAGAGATAAAAAGCCGTCATTCGATTCCTGCGTCTCCACCACAACATGAGCTCAACAGTTCCTTCAGGTTTCTCGTTTTATATGTATCAATCCTATCGTTGAGTCAGTATAACTACCACCATATTTGGGTGCCTGTGTTGTTCTATGTTTCTGTATCATACATTTCAAAGAAAATTGGCAATTTTGGTTAAAGACAATATCAATTTCCCTTACAATGTAATCGAATACTGTTATTTAGCTACTCCGGAATTACGGACTCTTGTAACGTCAGAGGGAGTACCACAAACAAAGCCTGTTGTATTCCTTCTGGAGAAATATCAGGTAGTTTGGGTTCAATCCACTGTAACAGTTGTTTCATTGACTCGAGATCCAGCCAAAAAACATTTTGTTGGACAAAGACACTTCAACACGCAAATGAAATCACCGATTTTTAAGTTGCTGCTCACAATTGACTCGCACTGTTTTGATTGTTTGACTGCTATGTATTCTTTAGTTCTTCTACTTTGTGGTCGTGGTATTAATTTCGCGGTAGCCGGTGGTTTTAGGCGTTGGAAAATAATCTCTCTCACGGACTTTTCCCGTTGGTTGGCAATTCAAGAGATGCCAAATCATAATCACTACTTTCATCGTTGACTATCAAACTTGACCTTGCCCTTCGAATATTTCAATGTTGCCGAGATAGTGTTTAGAATAATAATTGAAAAGAAACTGGATCGACTTTTAACAGCAAAGTTGAAATGGTAAATTGGCCACCGTAATGATTACAAAAGCTGACGTTTCGAGCGTTAGCCCTTCGTCGGAGCGAAAAACGAAGGGCTAACGCTCGAAATGTCAGCTTTTGTAATCATTACGGGGGCCAATTTACCATTTCAACTTTGTTGATATATCCAAATTATTTCGTTACTCCCACCGACGCAGCCCCAAACAGTTTCTTTCGAAACTATCAGCCTTTATTCATTTCGACTTTTAACAGGATTGATTGTTTTTGGATGATGCTGAGATGAAATAAACTTAATAAGGGCACAGGTGATTTAATCTATTTCAATATGTACTTATTGAAAATTGCCTTCTTTATTTTGGCAAGGATACAGAGGAGGACTGGCGTATGTCCCACACTGCCTTGCGGTGTCAATTTGCAAAATGGCGGCCGCGTTTTCACACATCTCGGTCTAGTAAGTTAAATCTATGCTTATCGAAGATTCTAAAGATTTTCATGGCGATTTTGGTCTGAAGGTAAGTTACACAATTGATTATCTACTGTACTGTGGGGTTGTTTAGAAAAGTAAAGCCCAATTCGGGAAGTTATTTTCTTTTTAAATCAGATAAGACGCTTTCTTCTCGAAAAGTTTCTTTAAAGTTAGTGCGACTTTGATGTAACTTTTCGAAGGAAGTTAAGGGTCAATGTTAAGTCTGATAAAGATTTTTATAATTTCATTATTTGATCTTTGTAATATACTTACTTTGACCCTGACTGACCCGCGTTTAAGAAGAGAAATCGAAGTTTAACTTTGACCTATTTTCAATAGTCACTATAAAAGTATTGTTTGTACCTCATGTAGAGTCATGTCTAAATCTTTGCTTCTCGACTGCTTTACCATTTTCACTCATAATTTACTTTGTGTTTAATCCAAAAGGAAGTAGTATATCATTTATGGAGTCAACAAACAAATGATCAGCCGTACCAGACCGAAATACTCCAAATAAATCTCGGCCCAAGAAGACGCGAAGCGACGATAGAAATACGCGTTCACGAAGATCTCTTTTCTCTACTCAAAGGTTGGAAAAGTTTGATTTTATTTGTCGTGGAAAGAGTACCATCTAACCCCATACATTAATTACGCATTCCGCTTCGTTGTCCTTCACAACAAGAGTGTCTCAAGATTTTTTTGTTTTTATTTTTTGCTACTTTGTGTTCCAGCAATTGTTAGCTGGTCCAAAATACTTATTAACATTATTTTTTATGCAGTATAAATGAGACAATTGTCTCTGGTCTTGCACTGAATATTTTATCCATATTATCTACTTCTAATTTTTCAAACACTGATGTTAATATATTGATATTTTGAAAACATAACAATCTTGCTGTAAATAAATCTTCTACTCTTGTGCTAAAACAATTTAGTGAAGCAGGTCACAGTTAGCGTCTCTATTTTAATTTAACCAAACATACAAGTTGTATTGATACTTCTAGCAATCAAGCCATGGATTAGCAGCATCACTTTTAGTGGCTGTGAAACAGTAACAAAAAGTAAAATTGTATCAAACAACCAAAACTGCCTCCAAAAGTACGAAATGCAAAACTAAAATCATTACAAACATTATACTAATATTACAGAATATAATTGTACTCATTTTTCATGTCATCTTTTCCCCACTGTCCTTTTTTTACCTAATTTATGCCAGACACAAACCGAAATTCTCTTGTTTGTGGAATCCAATATCGTTTTAGATTGTGAATTTCCATTGAAACAACTTCATTTCGATGCCATGCTCTCCTCAGTTTGGGTATTTTTTTAACCCCACAGTATCCCATAATGTGCCATACTCCATCTTTGAGTACTCCATCTTTGAGTACTTCAAACTTTATAGCATTCTTGTCTCTTGTATTATCCCGTTCATATTTTGCTCGAAGTTCAATTACAGCACTTACAATCTTTGCCTCATAACATATACTTAACGCATCTTGGTATCGCTGTTCCCGACGTGAACCAACAACTTTAAAGCATTCGAGACGAAAGCTCTACCTCTTCTTCGTCAAGTGTTGGACTGTGGTGATTTCGAAACAATTCGTCGATTTCATCGGTGCCGTTGTGCTTTGGAACCGAAGCGACTCTTCTCTCAGCCAAGTTGCCGACAACACTGACATGAATTTCTCTACAAACGAGGTCTCGACACATCAGACTAGACAGACGAATTATATAGTCATCTTTAGAAACGCAGTGAATATTCAAAAGACGTGAATTTTGTAAACTCTCCGCCAAATTCTGAGATACGCTTTGAAACGACGCCATGTTTACATGTTCGGGCATGTTCACAACACACCAGCTACAAGCAAATGATGACGTCACGAAAAATGATAATATATTAGCTTTCGCAAAGGATTCTGGGCCGATGACCACCCCTCCTCTGGTAAGGATATCAATAGCTTGAATTAGAACCCGCTTCCTAGTTTCATGTTTTGTCAGTCAAATATGAGGCAACTCGTTCAATTTAAGTCATTACTTCGTCTTACGGTTTTACAGAGACTCCACGATTGACTTTTTAAACTTGATTTAAACTCAACTAAAAATTATGAATTAGGCGACAGCACTGACTGAAAAACTGAAGAAGCTCGCCACACAGGCGTCACGTATCTGAAGTTTGCATCCCAGACAAAATATTTTTTGTTTGTCCATTTAACCTTCAAATTTGGTTTGTAGGGAGTTTGTCACGATCAGGAGGCTGACAAAGGAGCACGACGAGAAACCGTGGGCAAAATGATAGAAACAGTTGAAGCAGTTATGATGATAATGAAAAATAATAGTAATGATAATAATATTGACAATAACAGTTACAAATCATCGTTCTATCAAAGAAACCCAGTGACGCTAATTTCCGATTACACTCTACACAAATAATAGTAAAGTTCAATGACCTTGCGAATTCCTCATGAAATCAATAACGTCTGATTATAAAAATAATTCGATTACGTTTGATTAAGCACGTCCTTTCTGGAGAAAGCAAAAATGTTTATTTTCCTGGAATAGGAAACGGATGGAAAGCTTTGAGGTTTTCTTCGAAAACACGGAAACGCACGCATTATACTGCGACAAGTCCCTTTGGCAGGCGGAATCGAAACTTGAACCATTGGATTTTGGACTTCAGTCTTCTACCGATGAGCCGACAGAGACTGTGCAGTAAGTAAGGCCACTTCTAGATCCACGAGTGACACTCGTTATGCATTCTGTTAAGATCAGCAATGTTGAAAACTTCGAGCGAAGAACGCAAGCATCGAGCGTGGTGTCGAAACAGAGACAAGAAAATAACCCGTTTCTTTACATTTGTTCCATAAAAAGTATAGTGCTGGATGTCTCTTTAAATATGATTTCAAGAGTATCACTTTAATACCATTTTTCAGCGTAAGCAATGATATTTCGCCTTCCGTTAACACAATTACAGTTTTTCATTTTTTTCCACGGTACAAAACAATTATCGTCTTCTCATTTTCGCCAGTAAAACTGCAATTATAGAATAATCTGAGAAGCCTGTGTGTTATTATTATTGGTTGTGATTACTGATCTATTTCGCCCATTCGATTGCGAACGATTTTAATTGCCTACCATTGGCAGCATTGATAATTTGGCCTTTCGACATATTTGAGCATATCTCATGGTATCAATAGGAAAAGTGCATCTACAATTTTGCACACTCGCCAGCACTGCCTGACCTCCAGCATACTGGCGAGGAGTTCTCCGTAATTAAAACAGATCCAAATTCTACAAGGGTGAGCATTTTCCAGTTGCAGTAGCATTCAAAACATAGAGTCATGTGAAGGAATGTAAAACATAGGTCTAGAAAAAGACGAATTGAATAAATACCGCTGTTTAAGGTAGCATTTTAAGAAAACACCACTGGTTTAAAACACTTTTTGCTGTTCAATTTTTCTCTGGAATTGAAACATTTTCCCCTTAGAGAGTGTTTTCGGAAGCCAGTAAGTCATTATGGTCCCCTTAGTAAGACGACAGTTGCCTAATATTGGCAACTTTCATTAATTTGGCATTGCGAAATATTTGAAGACCAATACAAAACGTAAGTCTGCAATTATAAACTTTCACAACGGTTAAAAAAGCGAGCCCAGTTCAGGACGTTGAATAATGTTTCCTTCCTTCAAAAATAGCATCAACTTTAAAATCTTTTTTTTTTAAAGTCTAGATGATCATGCAAACATAATTTAACAACAACTCAACCCGAGGCTTTCCAAAGATTTATGATGTTAAATTCCAATATTCCAATTTTCAATAACCATGGAAGGCTTTTACGTACTTGTTTATTTCTATAGAGGCAAATAAGCAAGTACAACCGTCAAATACGTATTTCATAGCGGTTACAGAAGAAGTAAAAACTTACAAGCATAGAGGCTCTCTTTGACGGCCATGGTCGATGTTTTTTCCACAGACATGTCCAAATTGCGTGTATCAAACAGGCAGCTTCTGGGATCATTAAAGCCAGAACGAACATCAAAAACACTGCCTGTTTGTTTATTTCGGAAGAATTTTCCACTGCCAGGGAAGAATTCGCTGTAGATTCATTGAAACTTTTCAACTGCTGCCCTAGAACCAAAAAACAAATCTTGCTGGTAACAAGACAAGTTAAGACGACCGAAAATACTATGACTGCCACTATCCATTTTACGGCGCATCTGAATGCGCCACATTTGGATTCGCTACTCTTTTTTGACTCCGATGGTCTCGGTGGTTTGCTTGCTGTGAATTTTAATTTCTTCCCCTTCTGCTCATCCGGGGTCATAATATGCATGATGATGCCCCTGCTGATGGTTTCGGAGATTGAGGAACAACGTCTAACTCGCTCTTTTATCTGTTGCTTGGCTCTAAAAGACGCCACGCTAAAATCTCAAGTCCTAGTATCAAATGTCATTAATGACGTGGCCTGTCAATTATTTTAGTGATACTATGAGAAATGGTCGGATAAGGGAGAGGTACAAGGTCGATTTTGCGGCTGGAATGATTTTTTCTGTCTTCTTTTTTTTTTTTTTTTTCTTTTCTGTGAAGATATCGGAACGAAGCAAATGCAATAGGTGCTGAAAATTGCCAGATCGCTGATAAGAGGGATCTTCTATCCGAAGCAAAGCTAAAATCGTCTTGAGTTACAGCTTACTTCCGCTTTTGACTTCGATGATGACAGAATTTTTATTTCAGTTTGATACAAATACCTCAGACTTAAAAATTCTCATATCCTCTAGAAGAAATGTACGTGTTGCGTTTAACTTGTTGGAATTTCAGTCAGTCAGTTTGTTCATATGACCTACGGACTTGGTTTGCAAGAAAATGTGACACGATCAGAAGCGAGACAGACGTACAGGAAATGGCCATGCAATTGTTATGATAAAATTGATGTTACTAATGATAATAAAAAACTAATAATGTTGACAAAAACATTGAAACTAACACGAGTGTAATACAAACGATATAATTTGGATATATCAACAAAGTTGAAATGGTAAATTGGCCACCGTAACGATTACAAAAGCTGACGTTTCGAGCGTTAGCCCTTCGTCGGAGCGAAGGGCTAACGCTCGAAACGTCAGCTCTTGTAATAGTTAGGGTTAGGGTTAGTTTACCATTTCAACTTTGTTGATATATCCAAATTATTTCATTACCCCCACCGACGCAGCCCCAAACAGTTTGTTTATTAGAATAGATCGTTTGTAGAATTAATCAGTAGAATTAATTTTTTAGGGAAACCGCCGCAAAGCCACCGTTGTACAAAGACCAGGGAACTTGTTTGAGTTTGGCCGAACCTAGAGGGTTGGCACAATGGCCATAACCGGCGCGCCAAAGGACGATCACAGCTGCCCCTGTACATCCTGATCCAGGTACTTCACCGGGAAGCTACACTGGTCAACATGCAGATTCGTCTGGTTTCAGACAAAAAGCTGAAGAAACATCAGCGGTCAACCTACCGAACAATGCAGAGAAGACTCTTCGACCTCTGGATTCAATATGAAGACGGCCATAGGAACTCAAAAGAACTTCTGGAGGCCTGTGCTCACCTCGTGCAACCCATGTAAATTAAATTAAGTAAAAATTAAGTAAATTTTAATAAAGATAACCATACAACAAAAAATGAACGTAACTTCTCCTTCACATTAACTAAGACTGGGGGCTAATCGTCCAAAGACCCGGGGCTAATCGTCCAAAGACCAGGGGCTAATCGTTCAAAGAATGGGGGCTAATCGTCTGGGGCTAATTGTCCAGGGGGCGAGTTGTCTGACATTCCCGTATGTACACAGGCGTGCCACCGCCTTGCTTATCTGTGCGATCTTGTCTAATAACAGCACACCCAGGAATATGTAGCTCTTGATCCAATATGGAGGCATTAAGCCATGTTCCTGAAATCCTAAAGATGTCAAAGCCACGTCCGACCGCCATGACGTTTACATTTATAAATCCAATTCTGATAGATTAGTTCTGAGCTGTATATATTTTATGAACTTTCGTTCGGGATAGGATTTAGTGCGTCGTTTTTGACTGAGGTGCTATTTCCCCATCAGTATGTTCTTGAGGTTCACTAAAGCCGGATGATACTGCGTTACGAAAGGCAATATTTTCTTCTGTGTGCTATTTTCTTTAATTGCTTGAAGTGACCCCTTTCTACTGGAGCAAATAGTCCCAGACATGTATTTCTCCAGTACTTTGTCGGGTATCCTCTATTCCCCTCTTTTAGCGTACTCGTATTTTGAAACAGTGCACGTTTTTATTAAAACCTGGAGCGCGTCGGATTGTTCTTAGCACGCGTAACGCTTCTATATTTGCAAATCCTTTCTTTGCGCCTGATTGAAGGTGCTCACGGGCCAGCATGACTCCTGCCGGCCATAACGTGTAATGTCAACCATTTTCTCCTCGATTGCCCTCAGTAAACAAAAACAGAGGCGTGGTTGGCTAGGATCCTTTAATCCATACATAGGGACATAAAGGAGAACAGACTTGACGCATGTGAGAGATCGCAAGAAAAGGAACTCAGTTATGACACAGTTATGCTGTTACCAGCACTGAAAAACATTACTAGACCAGGATGTGCTGCCTTTTTACAGCACTATTTGCATGTACACAGCGCGCGCCTATTTTCCTCCATTCCTTGGTTTGGTTATGCGTTGTGTCTTACTCTGCGAGTCTCAATTTTAATTTCCAGAGTCCTTGTTCCGTTTGATCACGAGATGGGAGAAACAAATGGGACTGTAGTTGAAAGTAAAAATGAAAACAAGAGGCTCTGAAAACAAGAAATTGAAAATCGACGCTGGCCAGGGGCGATGGAAAGTCAAGTAAAATCACGGAATAACAATATCTTGAGACTAGGACAGCAAGGCATGAAATACCACTGGATGAATGATTGCCGCTACATCATTTTTAATGGGCATCTATGGATAGATTTCGGCTCTGCTTACCCTTTAACACCCATGACTGACCAAGAAGAAATTTCTCCTTACAGTAGCAATGACCAAGCAGACGAGTGATGAGAATAAAGAAAAATATGTATTAGGAGATTATAAGTTGATACAAAACTAAATTCTCCTAACCAAGATCATAAGAATTGTATGAGAGACAGTAAGAAGAAATATTAATGAGATATTAATTGGGAGTACAGAGTGGAAGGGTTACTGAGTCTGAAATGCATGAGGTCAATATTCTTGCGTGACCCGCGTGACCCGAAATCTCTGAGCAATGAACATAACGTATACCGTGTGTCACGGAAATCATATACCTAACATAAAAGAAGATATGCGTATCTAAGAGTAGAAACAAAAGAGCTTGAGGCTTAGAATAGAGCTGCGAAGATATTTTAAAATGAGGGCCGATGCTCATTCGGAATATGGGCCCCGTATATCGAGTGTACTACAACACAATTCACTAATGAAGAATCATAACAAGTAAATCAATCGCAGTGTGAGGAAAAAAGAAGAAATAAACTGAGAGAAGGATTTTTTTTCCATTCCAAAGTCACTTAGCTTCTGACAAGAGACAATAGTGTTAGCTTGATTTGCTTTGATTGAAACTTTGAGACATTCACTTGGTCAGCGGTTGTTTGGCGTAACTGCCAACCCTCGAAATGGCGGTGAAGGCGAACTGTGTCGCACTTCTGCACAATATTTCCGTGTGAACTTTTCACATGATGTTTATGGTACATTTCAGTATCATAGATGGATTGAAAGAATTTAAAACTACTGAAAATGACTACACTAGAGCTGTACACGAAGGTAAGTGGTAAGGGCTTCACTGTTGATGACAAGTAGTACCTGGTGCAAGTTACGCGATGAACAACTATATATTCGCCGGCTTCTTTCTTTCTATAGGGAGCTAGAGTATGGATCCCGCACGATCAAGTTATATGGATTGGCGGAGAATTAACTAAAGATTTAAAGGAGGATGGAATCTTGGAGATAGAACTCGAAGACGGAAATGTAAGTCTCAAGTTGATGTGTATCATGTTCGTGGTGAATTCGAGACCTAAGTAAAGTTTGACAATTGTGTGTTTATTTTTAGTGGGCTCTTACGTTGGTAAATCTCACGCTTTATTTTAATTTTTATACATTTATTTCTATTTCCTCGACAGGAAATTACTCTAGATGTTTCTAAGGGAAAGCAGAACCTTCCTCCGTTGAGGAACCCAGAAGTTCTTGTTGGTGAAAATGACCTTACCACCTTGAGTTATCTACACGAACCTGCCGGTTTGTACATGTCAGGAATTATCGCTTCAGTGAACGAAAATGTGTTTGCTTAAATTTTTCTCAAGAGTTCTTAGCAATTTTTGTTTGTTCTACCTTTTTGTGAAACCCGTTGATTATTTTTTGTTTAGTGAGGTTTCGTGTTGAGTAGGTAACTATAGTTGACAAAAATCAAAATCATATTTCGGAGTTGTTAGGTTAATTTTATTTTGATTTAATTTTTCCTTTTAGTGCTATATAACCTTCAAGTTCGTTTCCTGCAGTCCAATGCGATTTACACCTATTGCGGTGAGTTTAAATGTATTTGTGATTTCCTCGCTCGGTATTCCTATTGAATTGCTAAAAATATGGTGGCATGTAAATATTGCAACTAAAATTTTAATGGCTTCTAAACCATTTCGTGAAATTATTGGTGCGACACTAATTGCGTTTGAGAGTAGGAAGATGCAATGTTTACTCGACGGTCGAAATCAACGCTCAGGAAAACGAAAAGCAATATTACATTTGCTAAAAAAGAACTGTTTGTTTTAAATTCTGTCGCGGGTTATCTTTTGTTTTGATTTTGTTCAACTTTCAATAGGCTCACGTCTTTTTTTACATTTACGTAATTCCCTCGGGCTAGGAAAGTGCGAGAGAAATCACACAACCATTTTTAAAATGCTACTTGATGAATATTCAGTTTAATTCCTGTCATTTTTTTAATTACACATTTTCTTTTATGTGACTTGATACCAGAATTTTCTTGAATTTTAAAGGCAGCTCATCCAAAACAACTCGAGTCTGAATGATCAAAAATAAGATTTTCTAAATTGTTAATTGAAAGGATACGAGTGTATCTTTAATTTACTCATTTGGTTGCACTTGTACTTATATTTAGCTTCATGTACCCATATTGTAACATATGTAGTTTAAAATCAGTTTTCTATAGACTTGTTATTGTAGCTATCTTCCTAATAGAAATCAAAGTGAATCAATTTCAGTTCTACATAATCAATTTTGTTACATTTTAGCAAACTCCTTTTACTTCCAGTTGTTTAAAGGAATATACTCAATCACTCTTTGCTGCTTTTTATTCAGCCAGATTTCATGAAAATAATTAAAAATTTGAATGAGGAAACTATTTAATCAAAGCAACTGGCTCCAGTCATCTGCTAAACAACCCTTTATTGCTGCTAACTAGTCATGGATAATGTGTTCTCTACCTTATTTATTTAATTTTCTCATATTCTAATTTGAATCAAAATGATTCCCCAGAAGCAAGATTTTGGGTTTTATTTTGTTCGTGTTGGTAACTATTTTATCATATATGTCTGGAAAAATCTTAGTAAGTTGTTCATGGCTAGTAAATGTGATGTAGAATTGATTTCAAAGATAAATTGCTATGCTTGTGGAAGAAATATTGATTTCCAAGGTTACCCTTGAAATCCCTTGCAGGTATTGTTCTGGTTGCTATCAACCCTTACCAACAGCTTCCTCTCTATGGACCGGACATTATATCTGCATACAGTGGCCAATCCATGGGTGACATGGACCCACATATTTTTGCTGTAGCTGAGGATGCATTCAGAGCCATGGCAAGGTGATTTAAAAGGACTAGAAAAGTCATTTTAAGCAAGTAAAATTTTCTTATTAAAATGTTGAGCAGTAACATCTAAGTCGAAAGTTTGAAGTAGGCTCGACCACCATCTGTCTCTTTAAGGTTTCCACCTTGTGGAGATTGTAACTGCTGCTCTGTAGTTGAATTGTTTGTTTTTGGAAAATACTGAATAACTATTGTCAAATAATTCACTTGGGGCGGGGGGATCTGATGAAGATTCAGTTGTAGATGTAGATATAGATTCTTGCCCAAGATACTGTATATTAAATGATAAAATTCATTGTCATGACATTGGTATAAACCGTTAACCTCCAAGAGTGACCAGCTTTTAAATTCTCCTTACAATATCAGCTCTGAATCATTTATTTAAGATCATGAGATTAAAGAAAGAAGTTTCAGATGGTCAAATAAATTCTCCTTGTCGATCAACATATTAGGAAATGTATGGAGAATATGCATAATGATGTTAGTCTTAATTTAATTTAATAGCTTCGCTGACCAGCAGGGACTCGGCAACAGCTTGTGCCAATTACTGTGGGCCCAGTAAACCCACCCATCCCACCCCAGGGGAGGACATCCATTACACAGTAATCTCGTGCGTGGGAAATTAACATCTCTTGCCCCTAACCCTACAGGAGATGGGACCTCCATTTATTCGTCCCTATCTGAGAAGACTAGAGTATCTAACCATTTGATGTTATAGAAAGGTAGCAAATTCTTCTCAATTATTTTAAGACCCTGAGTGTTGGTCCGGCTGGGGCTCGAACTCTCGACTTCCCGCACAACAGTCCAGCACTCTATCCATTGAGCTAACTGGGAGGCGGTATGTTGGGGCGTTTAGGGTTAGATAGTGTTTGTGGGTTCAAGGGTCTATTAAAAGTAACCCACAACTGGTGCAAATCACCAGCTATTTCTATACTACTTTTTGGTGGGTTATGGGATACTTCATTAATTTTAGAAATACCATATTTGGTTGAACAGCCATCTACTTGACTACTTTTCACTGAGACTGATAATTATTTATAGAGGCTCTTGCACAAGACTAGCCAGTCAGCTTAGAAAAAAAGGAGCCATGATGTCTGTTTTATTTCCTTGTCACTGTAACTTACTTTCATTCTGAATACTGATTGGGTTCGAATTTGTTTAGTTGTATCAATGATTTGTTTCCTCTCGTGTCATTATTAATTTTGTGCAACTGATCGTAGTAGTAGGGGTGGGATTATAGACCTTTTTGATAGTACTACAGTAACTGAATGGCTCATGAACATGTCTGTACTTGTTTTTTTTTTCCTAGGGATGGGCTGAATCAGTCCATCATTGTCAGTGGTGAGAGTGGAGCAGGGAAGACAGTCAGTGCTAAGTATGCAATGAGGTACTTTGCATCAGTAGGAGGGGCTTCTACAGAGACCCAGGTTGAGAAGAAAGTCTTGGCATCTAACCCCATAATGGAGGTAGATCAACTAATGGCTTGCTTAATCAGCTTGATACTTTAGGTGCCAACCATTTTCAGTCGTGTAACTAATATATGATGATGATTTTCGAGGCTGTTTATTCTTACAGGCTATTGGAAATGCTAAGACAATACGGAATGATAACAGTAGCCGATTTGGAAAATACCTAGAAATATCTTTTGACAAGAACTATCACATCATAGCAGCCCACATGAGAACATATTTGCTTGAGAAATCCAGAGTTGTATTTCAAGCTCCTGATGAAAGAAACTACCACATCTTCTATCAACTTTGTGCTGCTTGTGATACTCCTGAACTCAAAGATCTTAGACTTGGTGAGTCAGAACTGTTAGCTTCCTTACTGACTGCATAATGTCCACAGTGCTTGCGCTTGTGTTAAAATGGTTTGCGGTGGGGGGGGGAAGTAAGTTTCTAAAGAAACTGTGGTGCTGCATTGATGGGGGCAGCAAGGTAATGTGGTATATCAACCAAGTTGAAATTGTAAATTGACCACCGTAAAGAGTTTAAAAGCTGATGTTTCAAGTGTCAGCCCTTTGTTAGAGGGAGAGGACGAATGGTTAACGCTCAAAACATCAGCTTTTTAACTCTTTACCATGGTCAATTTACAATTTCACCATAGTTGATATAACCAAGTTGAACTTAGAATGGTTTGGTTGTATACCCTGGTGAAGAAAAAAACATGCCATATCAAGCAACTTAGCTCATTTACAGATTTGTGCTTACAATTACAATTTCCTTTCAGCACACCAAGACAACTTTTATTACTTAAACCAAGGAGAATGTGCATATGTGGATGAGGTGGATGATGCTGAGGGCTTTGAGGAGATGCGGGAGGCCATGGATCTGGTTGGAATCATGAATGATGAACAGCTGATGATATTCAGGATCTTGGCTGGTATTCTGCATATTGGAAACATTGATATTCAACCAGAAAGTGATGAAGAAAGCACAATTGACGTAAGACTTAGCACATGCACCGTGCATTAATTGGTACTGTTGTAATTGTTAGTAGTCTAGTAAATCAACTTGTGAAAGAGGAGAGGAGAAAATAGATTGGATCTTTATTTGATCAGGGAAAAAACAATTTATGAAAATTTTGAGATGACAAGACTTAAAAAATTAAACAAGAATAAGTACATCTAGTTATTTGTAATTGCTTAAATACATCTGTTACCATTTTGCTCTTTGGTAGCACATACACCTGTAAGCAAGTATATCAGATAGAACTGGTTAGACGCAAGCCAGTATTTCGTAACTGAGCACAATAGAGATTATGAAAGAGAGACTACTGTAACAGGACATATACCAACAAAGAAACAAATGCAATTGAGCTGTAGTGTGGAGAGTTTTAACTTTTGAACTCCAAAGTTAAGTGTTACACCACCTACTCCCATTTAGTGTAATATTGGGAGACCCAGTTTCTAAAATGCATCTTCTGAGTAATAACTATTTTTTGGGTCTCTTTTGCCGCCATTGCTAGGACAAGGACTTTCATCTGGCAGTGGCAGCTGACCTGTTGGGTATTGACAGAAGCCAGTTTAAAAAGTGGCTGTGTAATCGGAAGATTGTTACAGTGCAAGAGGTGCTCATCAAACCACTGAATGCTGAGGAGGTCAGGAAAACAAACTGTGTTTTTAAATTACAGAATCTGCCATAAAATAAAGTAATCAAATAGTGATGTAGTTTTAGTTATTTATGGGTTTTGCTCTTGTTTGTAGGCTGATTTTGGCAGAAAAGCCATAAGCAAGCACATTTATTCTCAGCTGTTCAAGTGGATTGTCCAGTGTATCAATAATTCTCTCAGCAGTGGAGTCAAACAACACTCATTTCTTGGAATTCTTGACATTTATGGGTAAGGCCCAGGATGCAGCTGTGCATGCATGAAGGCTATTTTGTATGAAATGGAATGTTTTTGTAGGTGTAGTTGATCAATACAGTCTGAGGAAAAAACATGTAGTATTAGTTCTACATGTTACTTTGGTTTTAGATATTATCACATAGTATCAGAGCTTTTGCATGGACATCATCCTCTATCAAACAATCAAGTTCTAGACTGTACAAGAAAGTTAGGTTTACATTCTTCAAAGCCTCCCAATCCCATTTAGTGAGAAAGTGGTCTTTTTTTTTTTTTTAGGTTTGAAACTTTTGAAGAGAACAGCTTTGAACAGTTCTGTATAAATTATGCAAATGAAAAACTCCAGCAGCAGTTCACACAGGTAATCATCAGCATCATTAGATTTCATGCTTCTTAAGTTTGAATGACCTCTCCCTTAAATTTCCTAATTCTGTATCCACATGTAATACTTGCTCAATTATTTATTCAGCATGTTTTCAAACTGGAACAAGATGAATATGTGAAAGAAGAGATAGAGTGGTCGTTCATCAACTTCTATGATAATCAGGCTTGTATTGACCTGATTGAAGCCAAACTGGGAATACTGGACTTGCTTGACGAAGAGTGTAAGGTGAGACAAACTGAGATGTTATTTTGTTACTGCGAGAATTGATCCACACAATGACGTGAAGAAGAAGAGGTAGGGTCACCTAGGGGCATTGTGCGTAGCTATTTGATTTTTTTTTGTGATCCAAAATAACTGCCAACTGGAATGTATTTTATAAACATTTTGGGAGGTGTCATGCCCCAGCAATGCCACACCCCATAATTTAAACCATAGTGCTCTCTGGTTGATTATCAAAAATGGAAAGAAAGATGAATAACAGTGTAAACTTAATAGCCAAACATGACAAAGGTAGATGATTCAGTAAGCAAGTGAGAGCTCAAGGTAAACATGAAATATGAGTGAGAAAGTTGAAATTATTGGCTTGCATTTCACAATTGTTTCAAGGCTGACAAAGAATTCTGTACTTTCAGTTGACAACTAATCTAAATCACATCTTTATTATATGACATTTACAGATGCCAAAAGGTGCAGACAGTTCATGGATCCAGAAACTTTACAAACATCACATGAAGAAGGAACACTTCAGCAAGCCACGCCTGTCACAAACAGCTTTTATAGTGCATCACTTTGCTGATGATGTGCAGTATGAAATAAGAGGCTTTGTGGAAAAGAACCGAGATTCTGTCAATCAGGAACATCTAGCCATTCTTAAGGCTAGTGAGGTATGTAAGAAAAGTGGAACTTGGAATGTTGTCAAAGAAACTCTTGATTATTCTCCTTGTGGGCACCTGAGGAGATGTTTAAAGAATCGTATGGAGAATATGCAAAATGATATTAAGGATAAGGATGTGAATAATATCTTTAATTTTAATTAAAATACACCACTGTAAGAGGTTTATTATGCTTGTCGCGACTATAACTACATTGTTTTAGTTCAATTTGTACGCTTTACGTACCTATGATTGACATCATGTGATAATGACGTGAATCGAGACTTCGTGGTGTTGTTGTTGTTTTTGGTTTTTGGTTTTAGTCGCCATTTTTGTTTAATGTAAAGATTCGTTTGGAATCAAATACAGTTCTCACACATCAAAGAATGTTTGGTCAGTGTAGTGATCACTTTAGGTGACAATGCAGGTAAATTACTTTTGTTTAAAATGAACTAAAACTGTGAAGCTAAAGCCGGTAGAAAGCTAACTCTAGAATCTATTTCAGTTTCAGATGGAAATGTTGGATTTGTTATCATAGTGATAAATTGAGAATTTTTGCACTTAAAGCTAAAGCCAAACCATGGTGACATCCCCGAAAGTTTTATCTTTGAGATAATAAAATAATTGCAGCACTTGTTATAAAAATCCCATTCGCCATTACTCTATGAAGCGTTGAACTCTTAAGAATCTTTCTAAACCATTATTTGTTCCTCGCACAGTACGAACTGGTGGCACGAGTCATTGATTGCGCACATAATGTAAGTGAAAATAAAGACTAAATCAAAATCAATTGCAATTAACATGATTAAGTTAGGGTAATGTTCTTTTTTATCTTAAAATTCATGCGTGTGTTTAGTCGGAAGTAATTTTGTTAATATTTCAATGTAAGCTTTACCTTTATAAACTGGATAGGTTGTCAACAATCGTGCTTCTGCAAAGTGGGACAAAACGGCCAAGTTTAACTTATCAATTAAAGTCTTGAGACATTGAGCTTTTAAATTTAAGTGTTGTTAAAATTGATCGCCGTGAAATAAAGGTAATGAATTAAATGTTGACATGACGTGTTTAGACAAGGTAAACGTAACCACATGATTTCAAATGGAATGAGTTTAGTGTAAATTAGTCTGACAAATGTAATTGTGGTTATAACCACAATTAGATTTGTCAGACTAACAAAATATTTCGGTGAAAAATTTGCTAGTGCATATTTACATATATACTCGTGTGATTTTTATCAGTGATATACGTGGAATAAATTGTTATATAAAAAATATGCCTTAGACTAGCCTGTAAGGAGGCACAGCGTCTAAACCTTTTGCGCTCAGACTCCGGGCTCCCCGGGCTCCTTGGCTCAAGCCCTATCCGTGGCTAATTGTGCTGTTTCATTTGGCAACATTTATTCACTTCTTTCGGCACTTTTCTCAAAAGACGAAAGTATTAGCAAACAGTACACAAAACCTGCTGACATTCTGGAGTACAACCTACAGTAAATCAGTAATCCTTATTGTTGCCCCAAGCTAAGGAAACAGGTATAATTACTAGGTTTTATTGGCTATACTGTCTTCGCAGCAGTCTTAACCTCCACGATATTAGACAATATTACAATTCGGTTGAAAGTGACTTAACTACCTGTCATTATGTTGCAGTATGAGATGGTTGGCGACTTATTTACTGAAAATGAAGCTCACATGATGCCGCGTAAGAGGACAACTTCCAGAACAGGAAAAAATATCTCCAAATCCAAACGGAGTGTTGGATCAGAGGTTTGTATGTAATTTTTTCCTTCCAGAGGTCGACAACTACTTTCTCAACGGAAGGAAACCGCTGAATGAAGTTTGCAGATTGTGAGAATAAGTTATGGGACGGATGACAATTATCGGGCGATGTTGAGCTAGATATCTTGATGTGCTCGAGGTCGATCAGATCAATTGAACTACGAGAATCTGACAATGTTAGTGATGATTGTGTTATCAGTGGATTGTAGCTTTTCATTATCATTTAAGGGAGGGAATTTCACTGAGGGGAGCTGGTTTGCCATTTTCCAGAAAAAATGGACATAACTGCGCATTATAACTTGACTGTATTACGCCAGAGCAGACCATAATAAGGCCTGAAGAAAAACCATAATTTGTATGAAAGCGACTCTCGCAATAATGAACCCTACGAATGAAGTAGTGGAAATAAGGCCTGAAGAAAGACCATAATTTGTTGGCGGCCACTTCATTGGTTGTGAGTCAACAAAAAGAGTAGAGTAATCACCGAAAATATTTCTGAAGATGTCTATTTTATAGTTTGGTAATATGAAGAAATAAAGTCTGGGGAGTTCTTATGTTGCTTGTGAGGTTAACCACTTCGTTTTGCGACTTTTTCATTAGTTTCGTGAATCGCTTTCCAAGCTTATGGAAACCCTGAACAGCACAGTACCTCATTACATTCGCTGCATTAAACCCAATGACCGGAAGGCACCGTTTGAGTTCAACCCACAGAGAAGCATTCAGCAGCTCAGAGCCTGCGGAGTACTGGAAACTGTGCGAATTAGTGCCGCAGGGTACCCATCTCGGTGGAGCTATTATGAATTCTTCAACCGATACCGCATGCTTGTGAAGTTTGAGGTTATTAACAGAAGAAAGCCGCGAGCCACGATAGAATTGATATTGAAGACGTACATAAAGGTACTGAAAAATTGTACTCCTTCTAATGTGTTTGCTCGCACCCAAATGTTTCTCTATTACCCAATGAAATTAACCACGCCACTTTACGGAATATGCCTCAGCTAAAATTAAGGAATGTCTTTCTTGTTTTAGCGGTGAAAAATACCGAGGGAAAACCCGTTACTTATTGCTACGGTCAATCCAACATTTACTGGGCCTCTGTTCTGCACTGAAACTGCCTTTTATGACTGTAACAGATTTTGAGAAAACATTGATTATGAATTACTAATAACCTCTGAAAAACCGACGGGGGATTCGACGACCTTGAACCAAAAAGATCTGGAGACCAAATTCATTTCGACTGAAGTGTTTTTCAAAACAATTATAATTGTACTTGCGTTGAATGATGTGTGAATTAAAGATGTAGTCCTGGTCTTGATAGCACTGTTTTTAAAAGCAGGGTAAATCCCTTAATATTATGAGTAAAAATAGGCGTTTGAGTTGTTAAGAATTTTTATTTCATTGTGTGGGTTAGGACCCTGATAAGTTCCAGATGGGAAAAACAAAAATCTTCTTCCGAGCTGGCCAGGTGAGGTGGTTTGTTGTTTGGGTAAATAATTCTAAAAAAAAATCAACCAAATTAATAGAAGAGGTCCTAAATTGAAGCCTAGCCTTCCAGATGCTGGTTGGTTGCCACTGCTAACTGAGCAACGGACCCGAAGATAAATGATGTGTTATTTTAACAAAAGTCTTTCCTTGGCTAGCGCTGAGTTTAAGAGCTATATGACATCCGCCATTGGTGCAGATAATTTAGTATATCGTGAGAGGCAAAACTGATAATTGTTGATTGACTCTTTCGCTCCCGAGATCTCAGTAGTAATTCTCCTTAAAACAATAGCTACGCAGTTCTTATGATGGAGAATTTGGTAATGGATTAATTCATAGTCCCATAATTGAGTTCTTTTATTCTTATCACTAGTCTGCTTTATATTGTATTGATAGTGTAAGGAAAGAATCTGTCTTGGTCGCTCTTGGGAGTTAAAAAGTTAAGAAAGACATTTGGCTATCGTTTGCATTTGCCAATTTGCAAATTACTTTTGTTTCACTTCAAGGATAGTTCAGGGCAAATGTGTTTTGCTTTTAGGTGGCTTATCTGGAAAAACTCAGATCAGACAAGCTTCGAGACAGTTGTATCATGATTCAGAAGAATTTCCGCTGTTGGAGGGAACACCGGCTTTATCTGAGAATGAGGCGGTCCGCGATCTTAATACAGGCCTGGGTACGAGGTTATCTGGCAAGGAGGTTTGTATAGAAATGCGTCATATTCTAACATGGTCTGTCCATTTAAGATCTTTTTAATATTCGTGCCTCGCGTTGAATTTTCGAATGTTTACCTAAGAGGCAAATTATCGAAGCGAGTAGAGACTCAATTGTAGGACGGGTTACTCTGTGGATCTGGCCCATGAGATACTAACTAAAACAGCTACGATGAATTATGATCCCACTGATGACACCTTCAAATATTCTGTAGGAGATTTCTCGTAGTCCTGTCCCCGCTCCTTTATGTTAATTGACAGAAACAATAAACATCTACAGTGATTCTTTTATTAATTTTGGAATTTGACTATACTGCTTTTCCTTTGCGAAAAGGAAACTTTTAGGATATACTGAATCCGCGCAGATAAACCAGTTACAGGTCGGAATTTACGTTATAATATCAATACAATTACATTGAAATAGATCCGTGGGAACAGCTTCAAGAGGGGTACATAAGGACTAGCATAATTGTCCTTAAGTAGAGGTGCCGCCTCATTACTGTAACAGATACAAAGATAAACGTTATTTTCGGTTAGGACCCAAGAATTGTGTGTCCCTGAAGTAAGGTGTCCGAAACGAGGTGTTAAAAACATATGTAAAACATGTTTACCCGCTCTTGTCTCTCACGAAACTATTTTGAAGACCGGTACGGTATCTCAGAGTAGTTCCTCCAGTGAGGCAGGAAAATTTTTTTTGTATTTTTCTCAAGACTTGCTCAGGATCTCCGAGAAAAGAAAGCTGCGATCACCATCCAACGCTACTATCGTGGTTATGTCTGCCGTAAACAATTTGTGACCATTCGGGCGGCCGTCATTATAATCCAGTGCTTCACTCGGGGTATGTTCGCCAGAAGACTCCGCATGCAATTGTTGCACGAAGCCAAAACGAAAATCATTCAGCGGTGCTGGCGAAGATACAAAGCGAGAAAGAATTACAGGAATTACAAAAAGACGATTATTTACCTTCAGTCTTGTGTGCGTAGGATGATTGCCAGACGAGAACTGAAGCAGCTTAAGGTAATCTATCAAGAAATTAGAGTCATTTTGACAATCAAGATTTTTCCATAGTTTTAATATTCTTCTAATATTTCTGCACGCACAAGTGCTTGCTGTCTAAAGACGTCATATATTTAATGGTATAAATATTAATGATGAAGGTAATAATAATAGTTATGATAATAATAATAATAATAATAATAATAATAATAATAATAATAATAATAATAATAATAATAAATGATAAAAAAAGATGTGTGGTTTTATAGAAGTTGTGCCATAGGGGTTATGACAAATTAAAAAAGGTGAAATTGCTTGGGAAGCTAACTCGCCAAGCGGAATTTAGCCACCTTTGATGTTACTACTTTGGTGATCGTAAAAGCGCTACACTAGTACATTTTCATATGCCCTCTCACCTACGCAGATGAAACATGGGCCTTCACTGGTTGCCAGTAGCGTTAGCAAACAACAAAAACAAAACTTTATTCTTATTCTGATTACAGACTTACATAATTGAAAATTCTTATTACAAAAATACATGATTAAATTGGTTTGCCCCGCAAATAGCTAAGAAGCTAGTCGCGGTGGGGCAAAACAAGAACGTGATTAAAATAACAAGTTATGGAAGAATACTAATAAATAAGGCAAACCAATGTTAATAGAGAAAAACCTTGCGGGTTGCAACTAGAGATAAATAAAACACAGAAGTTGGGAGATCAAATTAACACAGCACTTACGGACGAACAATGTTGTAAAAGGAAAACAGACGTAAAATGGGACCCTCAGCAGGCGTTTCTATGATCCTACTTTTTTGATAATCATGAGGATTTCAATATACTCATCCTCCTTTACTAATATATCAAGTAACAATTTGCGGAGATCTTTTTTGAAAGCTTTCTTTGGGAGATTGGCTATGTAGCTTGGTATCCCATTCCACAGTTTAACTCAGAGCCGAGAAAAAGAATTGTTTTGTATTTCAAGTCTAGAATATTTAACATAAAACTTGCCAGACGTAAAAGATCGTGTATTGTATGAGTGGATATTAGACGCTTTCTGAAATTTGCTGGGGTTTTACCATTATTGATATCGTGCATTAAGGTTGATACGGACTCATAGTAAAGAAAAGTTATTGGAAGCACCTTAGCTTCGAAAAAAAGAGGAGTTGCATGGTCATGCCACTCGGCAAGGTATAATAAACGAAGCTAATAAACGAAGCACTCTTTTCTGAAGAATTAGTATTTGTCAAGACAAGTCTTGCATGCCTGATCCCAGGCAGCAAGACCATAAGTTAAATAAGAGTGAATTAATGACTAATAGATGTTCAGTAGTACAAGTCGGGGTACAAATGGCGTAACTTTGCGATTAACGCGATAGTCTTACTAATTTTTGTTACAATGGAATCAATGTGATATTTCCATGAAAGACTCTGGTCAGTAAGTACGCCCTGGTATTTTATGTAGACTTTAGACTCGAGACAAGTATATTTATTCTTATCATTATCAAACATGTAAAGTTTTGGTTGGTAAGCAAGTCGCTTTTGATAGGGATGAAAAATTACAAAGTTGGATTTCTTGATATTAAGAGTTAGTTTGTTAGCTGTCAACCAGTTACAAAGGTTTTGTAGCTCAATGTTGACTATTGTCTCGAGATCTTTCAGATTTTTGTCCGCATACAGTATGTTAGTGTCGTCTGCAAATAGGTAGAGCCCAAATTTGTTCAAGCATCTGTGAATATCATTGACATATAACAAGAAGAGCAACGGTCTAAGGATTGATCCCTGAGGAACGCCACATCCAACGACAGCTTTATCTGATATATGATGGCCTACTTGTGTTGTTTGGGTGCGATTTTTGAGATATGAGGAGAAACAATCATTAATTATTCCGCGAAAGCCATAGTGATTGAGCTTATCAAGTAAAATGTCGTGGTTAACGGTGTCAAAGGCTTTTTTAAGATCAATGAATACTCCACAAGATAGCAATCGTTTATCCATGTTTGACTGTATATCATTAATGTCCAATATCGCATGTTGGGTTGAATGCCCCTTACGAAAGCTATATTGTGAGGAATACAAAAGTTCGTGTTTCTTTATGTAGCTCGTTAGTCTGTTGTAAATTATAAATTACAAATCTCGCACATACTGTACAATTTGCTCTTACATTGTAGTTTCCAGAGAAAGTTTTTGTCTTGTTTTCCAGTAACAGCAAATAAAAGAAAATATTTACATCTTTACGTTCAGTGAGAGAAATTTTCTTATAAACGCTTTCTTTTTCTTTAGATTGAAGCGCGCTCTGTGGAACATTACAAGAAGTTGAACGTAGGTATGGAAAACAAAATCATCCACCTACAGCAACGTCTTGATGCACAGGTATTTATTGTGTATTTGCTTGGTTTGTTGATTGCTGCCTGCCTCTCTCACAGCATTTCAAATTTTTTTGAAGGATATTGACAAACAGTGTTATCATTTGGCATCCGCTAAAACTATACTGAAAGAAACCAAGTTTGTAAGAAGATAGCGACCTCCTTAGTCCTTTTTGGTATTTAGATCCCATTTCCATTGAATTTCGTTCAATCAAAACCAAAGTAACCGGAACAGCCAATCACAGGAAACGAAAATATTACAAAGAGAGATCGCTCTCACACTAAAGAGCCAATGAGAACTCAAAGCAAAAAAAAAAAAAAAGAAAAGAAAAAGCGCGGGTGACTATGACGTGATTGTTAAAGTTTTGAATCTGATAGGTTGAGAGAATGGTACAAACTTTCTGGACTAAACACACAGCCAAGTAAAGCATAACCGAAGCAGTCCCAGATTGCTTTCCAATTGAAAATTGAAATCGCATGAACAGTTCCCACGAATGTATTAGACACAACCAGCTTTGATTTCTTTGTGAACGATATGGTGCCCTGGTGGTTGGCGCGCCAAATTCCGCCTGAGAATGTTCGGAATTCTAGTCCTGGCCGCGTCAGTGAGTAGTCTGGGTTAATTCCTTCCTTCATTTTACGGTAACCGGAAAAACTGTTTTGATAACTTGGAGAATTGTTCTGGGGGTAGGGTGGTGTGAGTATACTCGTACATGTAAAATTACACAACTAAGACTTTCTCTTATATATTTGAGATGATTATCCAACGCTATGATTTGCAATACTTGACTGTTTGTTTCTTGTTACAGGTTAAAGAAAAAGAACAAGCAATGGTTGCCGGGCGAGAACTTGAAGCCACACGGAAAGAACTGGAACACGCCAAGCAGTGGAAAGGACAGTTTGAATCAACACAGTCCAAGATGCTGGAGTTGGAACTTGTCATCAAGGAACTTAGGGAGGAACTGAACACGGTCATTGTGGAGAAGGATGAAACCGAGGAACGCGCCAAAACTGAAAAGGAAGAGTTAGAAGAGGTTTGAATTTTGATAATGATTCAACTTAACTTTGAAATATTCAGTGTATGTTGTGAGAAAAACTGTCTCCTTGCAAAAAATTGGAAAGTTTTAAATCCACGTTTGTTCCTAAAATTGTGTGACCATAAACTGCTAGGAGTCACTTTACCAGACTTCAGCGGTCACGTTTGCCGTTTGCGGCTCACGTTTGAACTTCAGGCGCGGTAGTTTCAAGTAGGTCAACTTTCCAGCGCTTTTCGTCTTCCTGTTCGAAAAGTCACGTCTGTGATTTAAAAAGGCAGCGCACACTTTGATTTTCATGGCCCTTTTTGATTGAAAGCCGAAGTCGATCTAAAAAGCTGAAAGTCTGGAAAGTTTAAGTTGTTAGCTCAAGCCGCCGACCACGGCTTGAGGTTTGCGTTGAACAGACCAAACGTCAGCGTTCGTTCTACTCCTTAAACTCCTTGAAAACTACTTGAACATATTTTGCAAATTTAAGGGCGCTTAAAAACTCCTTAAATATAAGAAATTTAAAAAATAAATCCTTAAAAACTCCTTGAATTTTGTACTTAAATACGCATTGAAAGTGAAAAAATATATTGGAAGCGATAAAAGAGAAAAAATATAGAAAGTTATCTGGTTGAAGAGCGCCTTGGGAAAAAATGTGCCGCCATTGTTGCAAGCAAGCGCTTTTTTCATAGCAAAAATGACTCCTTGGAAAGTCAAATTTAAGTCCTTAAATTTAACTCTGAAATTCCTGCACGAACCCTGAAACGTGGATCAAACCCTAATAGTAAGCGGCACCGTATTCAGCGGTCACCCTGTATTCAGCGGTCACTGTAATTTTAACCTTTGTTAAGCGGTCACCTTTATTTAGCTATTTAGCGGTCAGGGTCACCCTTTACTGGGTCCCAACGGCCTGTTTGCATTGTCGTTCATTTGTATTGAACGGTCGCTTAGAACCAATCAAATAAAACGAAGGATAATCTTTCAAGTAATTTTTAATCCGTGTATATCACCCAAAATCATTAAGTGGTCAATTAGAAGTGGCAATGTGTATCGCTTTTTATAATATCCGTTATCTGTGGAACCTGTTAAGCCCGTGGGTGGCCGCTTAAAACAGGTTTGACTGTATTTGTTTGAAGCACTTTCACTTACATGTTTGAATTCATGCATTTGTTGTAGATAAACAAGAGATTGAGAGAAGAATTGACAAACCTAACTGAAGAGCTTGCTGAGAAAGAGGCAATTTCTGACAGAGAAGTTTCTCTCCGAGATGGTATGTGCTTGTGCGAGTCATAAATTACTTTTTAGCGAAATACTTCTCCGTCTGAAGAAAGTTTGAAAGAGAGACGAAGCAAGAGTGGTATGTTTGTACATTTGCTACCTCTTTTTGTTCTTTTCAAAACCATTTATGAAGTGTAAAAGAAAAAAAAATTCTTAGAAGTGGAAGTTTCGTAAGTAGTGGCTTGGCGCTAACACAAACAAATTACTCAACTTAAACAAAGCGTGATTATAAACTCCAATTAGCAAAAGAAAAGCCATTTGCAACTGTGGTCGAAGAGTTAAACTTGGAACTTTTGAGGGACAATTACTGCCAGCAGTCAAAAGGTGACTACAAGTTTGGACTTCTCAGGTCTCAGTTCCTGACCCCTGAGTTACGTCATCGTCTGTTAGCCTTTTGAAAGCAAGCCATCATAAAGACATCCTTTCACCGAAACCTCCAACAGAAATCATAGTTTTCTCCAACATTGTATAAATTTGTTTGTGGTTTCACTTTCACTAAGGGGGCAAGTTTCTAACGAAACCGTGGTGCTGCGTCGGTGGGAAACTATAAGATCATTTGGTTTCATCAACTGGGTTGATAATGTAAATTGGCCACCATAAAGAGTTTCTAAAGCTGATTTTCGAGTGTTTTGAGCGTTAACCCTTTCACTTTATCTTTGTTAAAACGTTTTACCTCGTTCCCTTTAGAAATCATCAACCAAAGCCTTGAAGCTCAGAGACAGCAACTTTTAGCAGAATTTGAAGCTGAACGAAGCAATCACCAGAGAGTTTTACGAGATTACGACCGACTGGAGCAACGCTATCAGAATTTACAGGATGAAATGGAGATTGAAAAATTCAGCCCTGTTGCTAAAAGAGAATCTGATGGCCTGATAACTGCTAGTGGTTCAGGTGCGTTTATTTTAGATATATTATTTGATTATATTCCAATAGCGTTCCATACTGTTGTCCTGTTTGCTTAAATCGCAGGAAATAAATTTTTACGTGGAAACTACTTGTGTTTTGAGGTCCTTCTCCAACTACACCGGGGCGTTAAAAATTAGAATCAAGTTAGACTCGTCAGGCCTTTAGTACTATGAAAATGAGTTTCTTCTGCTATCGAATTCTTAAAGGCTGATAGTTTCGAAAGAAACTGTTTAGGGCTGCGTCGGTGGGAGTAACGAAATAATTTGGATATATCAACAAAGTTGAAATGGTAAATTGGCCACCGTAATGATTACAAAAGCTGACGTTTCGAGCGTTAGCCCCTCGTCGGAGCGAATAGAGGAGTTGAGGGTTGTGTGTGCTTTTAAAGGCAGAAAATGGAGCTA